TTAGTTTAAAGAGTAATTTTTTTATGTTTACTACTACAGTTTTACCTTAGTAAAACTATGGCTAATTTTGGTAAGGGTCCCTCCTTTGAGGCATCTGGGGACAGACAAAGAAAACAGGCGAGAGAAAGAAAGAATTTGTAGAATATTTGAGAGAAAAGCAAGAAGACGGAAGGAGTGACAACAGATGAGTAAGGCAGAGGGGAAGTGTGACAGATAATGCCTGCCCGACTTGGCTCAGTTCCTGTTGTGGTGGGGTGAATCATGGATTTTCTCCATGTAGGAAGAGGGAAATGACCAAGGATGTCTTTTTCCTGAGTAACCAAGCAGGCCTGTGCCTTCCAAGCCTTTCCTGTCTGTACAAGCGACTTTGTCTGTGTGTGTGTGTGTGCGCGTGCCCTGTAACAATAGTTTGACAAAACCTTTCTTTGGGGATAGGGGTGTATTCAATTGAAAAAAGAAAATAAAAATTCTAAAGTAAAATAAATACTTAAAAAATCTAATAATGATAAAGGTTTTATATATTAGGATAAATAATTTATATACAAACTGTCATGTATTCCCTGTGTGTTTGTGGATTTTTTCCTGTCTTGTAGTTCTTTGTAGTTTTTCCATGTTGATTAGTTTCCCCAGGTGTTTCATTTACCATGCCCCCTTGGTAAATATGATCAAAGATGGCTGTAAAAAATAAATATGTATTGTTTATCCTTTTGATATATACAGTATAGGCTTTTTTTTTAAATGCAAAAATCTAACCTTTTATTGAAGTAAAAGAATTGAAAGTGGGGGAAAAATCACATTATGAAAAAAATGTTTTTCTCCAAAACACATTGGGAACAATTATTTCCCCCCTTTTATTAAATACTTTTTGCAACCTCTTTTTCCCAAGAGAACAGCTCTGAGTTTTCTCCTATAATGCCTGATGAGTTTGGAGAACAACTGACAAGAGATCAGAGACCATTCCTCCATACAGAATCTCTCCAGATCCTTCAGATTCACAAGTTCATGTTGGCGCTTCTTCTCTTCAGTTCAGCCCACTCATTATAGGGTTCAGTTTAGGGGACTGGGACGGTCATGGCAGAAGCTTCATTTTGTGCTCAGTGACCCATTTTTGTGTTGATTTTGATGTTTGTTTTGGACCGTTGTCCTGATGGAAGATCCAACCATGACCCATAATAAGATTTCTAGCAGAGGTTGTCAGCTTTTGATTTTTTATCTGTTGGCATTTGATCGTTGGTATTTGATTTGACAACCTCTGCTAGAAATCTTATTTTCAGCATCATTACTCCAGTCTTCAGTATCACATGATCCTTCAGAAATTATTCTAATATGATGATTTGCTGCTTATGAAACACTGGGACTGTGTCCGAGATCTTTAAAATGCTGCCTTTAGAGGCGCATTCCAAGATATAAACGCTTTAAGGCATGTCTGAATCCAATGTTAACTTTACTTCCTGTCTCCTGACATACCTTCATCTGAATGATTTTTAAAGGCATAAAATGGCAATCGCAAACTTCCCTAGTAGTAGGTGAAAACAATGTGTGACAATAACTATGTCCGAATTCATAGTACTCAAAGAATGCAAAAAGTACCCGGATGACCTACTACTTCTGGCGAGATTCTGAAGTGTGCATACAATGGACACTTTAGTATCCCATGAGGCCACAGGAGAGGATTTGTGAATGACTGTGAAGCGACGCAACTGACGCTGGTAGGTCACAATAAGGGCAACAATGCGAATGTAGTACGTCCAGATTATAATACAAACATTCATACTAAATAGAACACGGTTTTAGCGGCCGTGGAGTAATTACTTATTCAAAACAAATACCTACACGAAATTATGTGATTTCAGACGCAGCCGAAATCACATAATCTGTCCTTCGCTGCCTTTGATATCCCACATGTGCGTTCCATTCTGTGACAGTTGGGCTAAAAAATAAAGATGGCATCTAAATGTTGTGGTTGGTTGGTGGTCAGTTTGTGTGCAAATGTAAGTCGTTTTCCACTTCTGATGTCATTTCTAGTGAGAAATTACTGTAGTATTTAAATATTTGTTTAGTTTTCACCGAAGCTTTTGCTGAACTCTATTTTGCTGTAGATTATTAAACTGCCTCAGAAGTCTGTCTGAAATCAGTTTTGTGAGGTGCCTTCGTGCACAAACGCTGACTGAGTCATTTGCCTGATATATAAGGCAGCGAGACATTTGGACGCTGCCTGGATCTCATTCATTAATAATTGCGTGGATTATTTTGTATTTGTTTTTATCAGTTTAGTATTTTGAGATGTTATGCTCTTAATAATAATAATAATAAATCAGTGCATTCAACGTTGGACTGTATTTTATAACACAGTGTTACAGCTGATGACCACATGGATGTTTGCCTCATTTTCTCAGCGACCTATGGAAGTTTCAGATTTAAGCCACAGTAAAAGCAATGCATGCTCTGACACTGCAAGTAGCAGTGTTTTGTTTCTACATGATTCAATAACCCACTCAAGTATTAGAAATGTTTTGGTTTCTGGCGGGGCAAAAATAGAGAAAGTAACTGGCAATGTGTCCAAAATATATGTTCGTTACTCAATATATTAACCTCTTGTTTATTGAACTGTTGCATACAATCCATCACAGTCACAGTCGTGCTGTTGCACGGAATATTTATGTGTGATTTACCTGCAGTCTCTTGTTTATATTATTCAGAATTCTAGGATATTCGGAAGAGCACTATTGCTTGTGTGATGTTGTTTAATTAGAAATCCAGTAGCAGTCAGAAATCAATAATTTCTTGTTGAACACTAAAGAATTTCATTAAAAAGAAGTTGTAAAAGATTATTGGAGTAGCCCATATTTTACAAGAAAATAGTATTTCAGACTTTCTACTTCAAAACTTCGAGCCCGTTCTCATCCAACGCACATGGCACCCTTTAGCGTCAATATGAGACGCAGATATATATGGGCCAGAAGGCGCCTCCTAGTGGTCTAACCCTAACCCTAACCCTACCCCAGACCTAAACCTACCCATAACTATTTTGACGCTAAAGGGTGCCATGTGCGTTGGATTTAGACGAAATGTCAAAAGCGTCAGTTTATGACGCCTTGGGATGAGAATGCGTTGAAACTTCATGTTTAAAGGGGCAGTGGGTGATTTCTAGCGCCATCTAGTGGTGAGGTTGCGAATTGCAACAGAAGTTACGGTGGCCGACAGGAAAATATGTTGCCGACGTCATCTGAGACAGCAGAGAGTGGCCAGTAAAGCAATGAGGTTTCATTACAATTATAAATTATGTTTACTTAATTATTCAGTAAAACGATATGTGTCAGGGTTTTATTCGCTGACTTTAGCTAGCTTCTTTGTACGAAGAACAACATGGTGACGAAACACGTTTGTCCGTTTAGGGCTACCGTAGAATAGCCTGACTACGTCAGACTTCGTACTTCCGCTCAATTTCATTTCGCTTCTGTACTTAGTCTGAGACATCGACATGTCTCTCAGTTTTCCTCCGGCCTGAAAACAGCCGGCCAATCAACGAACAGAGGGCGGGCTGAGAGCCGTGACGTAGACGCTAAGCGCCGAGTTTAAGATTGGGGAAATCGAAAACGACCGCGGATATGGAGACACGGGATGCAATTCGCTCTGTTGTGGAGAATATTCCCGGCATTTCCAAACTGAAGCCCGAACAAGAAGAGTGTTTGTTAAACATTTTGAATGGAGGTGATGTTGTGGCCCTAGTCCCGACTTTTTTGGGAAAAGTTTAATTTATCAACTATTACCGATCGTCAGCGAGAAACTGGGCAGGCCAAAGGCCGGCAAGGCGATAGTTGTGCTTGTGTCCCCCTTGGTTGCACTCATGGAGGATCAGGTTAAGGAGGCAGCAAAACTCGGTCAGCCATGCTCACTCCGGTATTTCGCTCGATGGTTTCGTTTTCGCATCATACATGTGTTTACAGTGGAAGTTCGATGCGGTTGAGCTGGCGAATAACACACGTCATAACCAAACGTTATGTGATTGGCTTACGGGTAACCAATGATTTTATACTTCAGACAAGCGCCCCCGCGATAAAGAAAACACTTTTCAATGATGACATGCCAGACTCTGTCTACAAAGCAAAGCGAAGTAGCAGAGTTTGGTATTACCAGGCTAACTGTAGAAACATATCAGCGCAAAATAGCTATTTCAATGTAAGGGGACCCACAGTGTATGTAGATAGAAACGGCTCGTTTTAAGGTAATAAAAACATAACGGTTCATTATGTAAGGTCTTTATACACCACTGAAAACAGTTATAGCCTATATGATATTGCATTTCTGTCAACAGATCCTCCAAAATATTACACAATGCGCCTTTAATTCAATGTGTTACTTGCCATTTCTTTGTAATTATTTGTAAAACTTACTAGCAATTTTAGAGTGAAAAGTAAATCTTACATACATTTTTTTCCAGTGAAGAAACATAACTGAGAATAACTAGCACAATGTTTTACACGACCTTTAAGATTTTATTCATTTCCGCAGACCTATCACTCCCTGATAGGTTTTTCCAGAACTGTGGGAATTAACCTGACATCTATATTTCATCTCTAAGAAAATGCATGACTTGCAGAGGTCAGTAAAACTCTAAATCACACACTTACACGCACACATACACACACAGCTAAAGCAGCCCTATTTCTTTAATATGCAAACTGCAAGTAGCTGCATGTTCCCCCAGCACAGCATGTTGCTGCAGAGTCTCACGTGAACATTATGTCTGTCACAGTCACATTTCGGCTGCTGTGCTTTATGGTTGCCAATGGTGACAGAAGCTTCATCTCAGGCATGAGCAGGCTGGGCATCAGGGGGTCCCACCATAGAAACAGAAGAAGCTTCAGTTGATTGGGCCCTATTGCTCAGTGCTGGGAGTCACATGGTACCACTATGACCAACCCCCCCCTTCCTTTCCCTCTGAATCCATAAGAGTGGGGGAAGGGAAGGAGAGGAGGGAAGTGGGGAGAGAAAGAGGGAGGGTTGAGTTGGAAGCATGAAGGCAAGGTGAAGAGTGTGAAACAAACAAACGAGTGAGAGGAAGTCCCTTATCCTTCGCCGTACCGGAGTAAAACATAGATGCAGCCCTGCCCCTGTGTCTTTGCTTTAGCACAGAGCCTGGAGCAAATAATCACAGCACAACCAGACAGAGAGAGAGAGAGAGAGAGAGACACAGATAATAGGAACACTTCGGAGCATTTGACTGGATAACAGGCTGTCGGAGAGGGAATGCATCTCAGAGGCTCATCTTCAGGAAGCCTCCCGGCTATGTAAGGACGTCTGTGGATTTTTGTAAGGATTCCTTAATTAGGGAGGCAAGCAACTGTGGGAATATTGCTTTGGGAAGCCGGAATACTGTGCCATGAGTGGGAACAGGAGGCGGAAGGGGGATTGCTGAAGCATGGAGCAGGTGAGCGATACAGTCAGCGTACAATTACGCAGAACAAACATGTTTCCTGTTTCATGCCAGTGATGCTTCGGGCAAAAGCAAACGGCACAGCAGGATCCTCGCATCAGTCTCTAGCAGCAAATCCATCCTTAACACTATAGCATGTGGCTTGCTTTTTTTGTTCATCATTTTGTCTTTGTGATGCTGTTGTCATGCTGAGTAAATCCTACAGCATGTCCCGTATAAAGGGGGTTGGTTGATTTGAACAGTGTATTTTATTTGCCGTATGATTGTTTAGAATCAGATATAAGTAACCTTACTCTGCTTTGCATGAGAGAAATGCACCTTAAACACTAACACAGATACAAGTCCAGACAAGTAAATCATTATTGATAACTCATACTCTTACTGCGTGCTTACCCAAAGCATAAGAGTAAGGGTTACCATTGTACTGAAGTATATATATATATATATATATATATATATATACACACACACACATACGCGTGTGTGTGAATATATATGTGCGTGTATATATACATATATATATCAGTATTTATTAAATATTGTTATTATTACTTGTTCTCACACGGTTATTATTTAATAAATTAATCATTTTAATCGAATGGTAGTGATGGTAACGTGTAAAAGCAGTTGCATTTCTTTCCAGCTGTTGCTTGCCATGCAGTGACACTAAAGGGAAACAAGGATGCTGATTCCCTGGGCTGAATCTGCTGCCTAAACATTATGTCATGCTCTCAATAGTCTCGCTCCTTTGGGACAGCAGTGTGTGAAAGAGAGACACCATGACAATTTATTTAGTTTGTATTTGGGCTATGACTTAATGGCATTTAGCAAAATATTTCAATCTTTCCTTCTCTTTAAACGGGTCGCATGCCGTTGTCCCGCTCTCCTGTGATGAATTATTCATGCACTCAACACTGCACGTCCTCAGCCACGTCTTGCATGGGTCTAACGTCAACCAGGTGATGTCATCCCCATGCAATGGTTTGTATAATATCTAATATTGACCTCAATGATTGACATTCAGAAGTATCTGGATGGCCACTCACATAATGATGCCAGTGGCTCTGTTATGAGAAGAACAGTAAGACAGGCCAGTGCTAGACAGAGCTCCAAAGTTGTGTAAATGTATTGTCATGGAAAATGCCAGCAGGCAAATGACTATCTAGCCAAACAACAGACCAGCGAGAGCAACAGTAGATCAATACTTCACAAAAAGTCAGTAACACATCTTTGCCCTAATTGGTGCAGGAGTGTATTTAGGCTACTGGGTGGCTGAAAGGTAAAAGCTAAACACTACAAATAGTTTCCCTACACTGATACAGTCCAGAAAGTGTGTGTGTGAGAGAGAGTGAGAGTGTGTGAAGGTCGTCTCATTGATCAGGAGTATGGAATGACTATAGGACAGTAATAGTAGCTGGCTCTGTGAGCACAAGTGCAAAGTGCGTTCGTCCTGCTAATTCCTTCAAATCTGTTTACAGCTCCTCCTTCTCAGATTGTAAAAAGCTATATGTTATCTTATAATAGCATGTATGAAACAGGCCCACGAGCCAAAAATCTGCTGCAATTGTGGTCAGTAATGCAGAAAGAGACAGTTGGCACACGATGGCAGTGTGCTCAGGGGGATCGGGGTGTAGTGATTAAAGTCACCATGAAATCCAAATTGACAAATAGATTTTTTTGAATGGAATATTGCAGTATTTATTATAAATAATTTACCTGTGCACATTATTCATATTTTAAAATTCATGTGCCCTTATAATCTTTAATCCAATTAACTTGCTCTCCCTCTTATACTGACATCTTTTCGCTGATGGTGTGTTTACTGGCGGGACAACCTGTCACTCACATGACATCACAGCAATAACAAACCACAACCATCCACCGATACATTCCATACAATCCACTTTTTTCTTGTTTGAGCAGCCATTTCACTAGTCACAATAGGAAAGAAAAGACAATTGCAACTTACGTTTCATGCCGACTTTAAAGATCCAGGCAGGTTTGAATCTCTCAAACACTGATTCATCATTGTGATGCTGATTTTCAGGTTGGTCCATAAAGATTGTTCCTGTAAAAAGTGAGGCTAGTTATAACATGTTGGTTTTCAATCAGATCCATTTGATTTTGTATTTATTGATATGTGCAACCAATTAGCAAACGCCATCGCAGGTGATAGGTGCGTGGAAAAAAAAGAAATCAAAAGAAAAAGAAAAAAATCACCAAAAAACAAGGACCTTATATGCAAGCATATACAGGTATATGCCTGATGAAGGTTGTGAGATCGAAACATTGCTAATAAAATTGAAATACTCATTTGCAAGTACTGATAGTGTGCGGGAGTTCCTTGTTTGTTTGTTTTTTGTTGATATGAGCAACGAAAAAACTTGGCTCCATGCACCTCTGAAATGACTTTTAATTTTTTGGCTGAGGTCACAAGGCCTCTTATTTTAGCTCCATCCCTCCAACCTTTCTAAAAAAGACCGTGTCCAGCTAGCTACTCTGGTCTATTCTAGTATGGAACACACACTTGTGACAATCAAATCAATTCCTAATGGATAAAATCAAGTCCTTTTCATTTTTTTTTTCTCTAATAGAATGTTCTAATAAGCACGCCACCTACTGGAGGATCTATGTAACCTGCAGAAAAAGTCGCTGAAAAATCCCTATGCACAACACAGACAAGCGGAGTAATAAGTCCTAATGCTGTTATGAGCACTCTTGGAGCTTGTCTAAATTAATGGAAAATAATGGAAAAAAGGAAATTGTCACATTACGGAAGTAAAATGGGTTGCAGATGCATCCTTTTTTCAACAAACAAAAACAACTCTATACTCTTTTTTTTTTCCTGCTTTGAGTTTTGACCATCTTACATGAGATTAGTTTTCACCAAACTATCTAAAAGCCATTTTTAATGCGTCCAGGGAATGATTGCAAATGTACACAAAGTATTGAAAGGATCACAGAAAACTGAAGATGCTCCAGCAATATCAGCTTTAAATCATTCTAGATCAGCAGTCGGAGAGCAACTGTGCACTTAATAAAATACGTTTCCATTCAAAGTAACCAATAAGCTCTTGCAATGTCCTTAGAGGGACAACCTTTAGGCCATCATTCTTCACTGCAAGACTAAAAACCAGGACATGTGATGTCTAGATGGGCCTGTTTTCTCTGCTGATGTCTGAGTAGTTATTGATGTTACAGCTGGAGCTGATGACCTGTTACTTCATCACTGTCCACCAGCCCTGAATCACATGAGCGAGAGAGCTTGGGAGGCCGTCTTGCACTCGTTTGTCTGTCTCTTTCATATTTTCTTCATCTTTCTTGTGCATTCCATCGCTCTCATCTCCACCCATCACCTCTTTTACTCTGCCTCTGTCATTTATTTCATGGCCATATTGTGATATTTTAGGGTTTGGTATCATAATGAGTTAGATTATGGATTATATTTGTTGGGAAATTCATCCCACTCTGCAGTTAGTGGGCAGATGGCTGAGGGTTTGTGAGGCAGATGTTTCCCTGCTTAATCTGGATGGACTGTTTCCACATGGCAGCACAAAACGGCCTCATATAGCAAACTAACATTATGGATGGATTTATAATGTAAATATTGTTTTTGTAGTTGTAGTAAATTATAAGGGGGGTTTATGGGGTAAAACTATTGCTCTTAAATGGAGCATGGACTGTCTGGCTTTGAAGAAACTGGTGTACTTCAGGGATATGTTTTACAGATTACGCTCTTTCCAGATCGTAATGTGTTTAACAGAGTCAGCTAGTTCTAAAGCAATGCCTGGAGCCGTTCTGATTGGCGGTGGGATCAACCAGGCTATTACGTTATTATACAGAGACATTTCAAATGTTAATGCCGTCTCAAATGAGCCCATATAATTTACAATGAACTTTGACATTTACTTAGAAACAATCATTTATTTGTCCTGTGCTGAAATTGTACATGAAAATGTCAAAAACATTTTAGTATGTATTCATACGTCTGTGCGTGTGTGAACATTTTTTTTAACATGTAGGGGTCAGACAGAAGGGTCCTCACCTTTAGCCAGGAGGAAGTGATGTGAAAGAGAAAGGAAATATTGGTATGTATGCTATGTCACATGAATTATGAGGAAACAGGACGTTAGCGCTTTACAAGCACCATGAGATGGTCTCTACGACCAAAAACAGCCTCAGTACAGCTCATAAATAGAGAAAATGGTAGTTCGTGTAACACAATACAGTTCCATTCAGAGCATTTCCTCTCACTCCAGTTATTTTTACCTTTTTAGTACTCTCTTCTTTCCTCCAGGGATAATATGGCAGAGTATCACAGATGTTTCTGCTGCATATCTATACACAAATACTGTATACAGTGCTTTTTAATGGCCTCGACATACATTAAATATGTATAGCAAGTTGAATAATTATGTTTTTATTCTAAGTCAGAGTTGAGTAAGTAATTGAGTTCTTTATTCCTGAAGTCTGGTAATTTGTAAAACAGACCCAAAACGCTGCATGGCCTGCTGTAGAGATTGAATAGCATAGATTTACGACAGGTTGTAGGAGGAGCCACAGAAAACATGGGGTCATGAACCCTGTAAACACTTCCTCCTCCTGCCCTTGACACGTACAGTGGGGTTCAACCATCTGAGTCCACGTGAAAATTGGGATTTGACTGATAATTTGATCATTTTTCAAATCTGAGAAATAAACAAAAAGCTTTGGGATTCTTTTTTGAAAAGTATAAACAAAGAAACATTATGATGCAAAATGAATAAGACTGGTCACTAATCAAATCTGTGACACTGATCATGTGACTGAACAGATGGTCAGGTGCTCTTCCATTGAAGCTCAAGATGCTCTTTGGATCATCTCAAATCATGCTGGAGAACATGATCATCAGGTTTGATCAAGTTCATTCAGCTCAAGTGTGCAAACACTGAAACATTCAGAAATTCATACAACTCAAAATTGCTATGATACACATTTTTTAAATGAAAAAAGGT